AGCATTATGCTAAGTGAAATAAGCCAGTCAATGAAGGAAAAATACCACATGATCTCACTCATTCATGGATAATAAAGACCAGTATAAACGTATGAACAAAAATAGATACAGAGGCAGAGCAGCCTCGAACAGACTGTCAAACTAGAGCGGGAAGGCCAGGGAGGGTTGGGGGCAGGAAGGGAGGGTAAGAGATCAACTGAAGGACTTGTATGCATGCATATAAGCATAACCAATGGACATAAGACACTGGGGGGTAGGGGAGGCCAAGGGATTGTCAAGGGCGGGGGAAAAAAAACGAGACATATGTAATACCCTTTGTAATACTTTAAGCAATAAAACAATTATAAAAAAAAGCCCACTTCAGATGGACTTTACTGTGCTTACTATAGGCATTTGTTATATCAAGGACATCACAGATAACATCCCCTCATACTGTAGGCACTTGAACAAAAGGACCAGAAAGAAAATCTTAGATGGACACAGACAATATATTAAAGAGGTTAAGATAAGTATGCAAGATCATCATAGTACCTAGGTGTGACTTGGAAACTTGGGAAAGGAAACAATTATCTTAGGTGCTCACCTAGAGAAACAAGTTACAAATTGACATGCTACAAACTAGGGGGTTAACTGTAAATTAAACCTAACTATAGCAACAACCACATTAAAAATAATGGACTAAACATGCCACTATAAGAAACGTTGTAAAATGTCTCAATAAAGAAAATTCAACTATATGCTGTTTATAAGAAATGCGTTTTAAATGGAAAGCATAAACAGGTTAAAAAAAGTTTAAAGTCATAAATTACATTAACATTAAAGCAATCTATAATAATAAAAGCATAACATGCAAATCGACCAAAAGGCTGAACAGCTGATTGACCGTCCGGATGACCTTCCGTATGACCTTCCGGATGAAGCCAGGGCTGGAGGGCCTACACTTGCATGGATTTCATGCTACGGCCTCCAGTTGTATTAATATTAGACAAATTAGGCTTCAGTATAGAGAGAAAGGGTAAGAAAATATAGTTGAAGAAATAGTGGCTAAAATCTTCCCAAATGTGATGAAAAACTCTAATCTTCATATATAGGAAGCTCAACAAATACCACATATGATAAACAGAAGGAGGTCCACACCTGAAGACATCATAGTTGAATTCTCAAAGCCAAAGACAGAAAGCATCAGGAGAAAAACAACTCATCATCCATAGAAATCCTCAATTCAGAAACTATGGAGACCAACAGTCAGCGTGATGTCACATTCAAAGTGCTTGGAGAGAGATTTAGAATAAGTGTTTTGTCTGAAATTGCTCTTGGAAAATGGGATACGATGAGGGCTATGAGCCTTGGGTAGAAGAAAATGGACCGTTTTTAATAGCAAGGCAATATTGGCAATGGAGGTAACAAAAGTGACAGTGATGCACTTCACCTTAATATAGTCTTGTCCAAAAATGGCCTTAATCATGGAACCCCACATGTAATCATGTTATTGAATCATGTTATTGGAATGGTGTCTGCCTTTTTTTTTAGTTTTTTATTTATTGAGTTTTAGAGAGAAGAGGAAGGAGAGAGAGAGAGAGAGAGAGAGAGAGAGAGAGAGAGAGAGAGAGAGAAGTGTTCTTCCACTTATGCATTCATTGGTTGATTTTTGTATGTACCCTGACTAGGGATCCATCCTGCAATCTTGGTGTATCGAGATGATGATCTAAGCAACTGAGATACTCAGCCAGGGCCTGGAATGGTGTCTTCTTGAAGTATATAGTGGACCAGGTGTTATGAATACACTTACATGATCATTTTCATGCATTTTATTTACCTGGTTCATCAACAGTTGATTTTCCTTCTAGTTTCAGGAACACCTCATTCAAGGTTGGCATGGAAACACCATAATTCTCAATTCCCAGGTCAGGAGAGAGATCAAGGTTCTCATAAAGTTCTAAAAACACATACACAATAGCAAATCAAAACAAGCATAGTGTATCAATTAGAATATAATATTTCCCACTGTAGATAAGAGTCTTGTGGGGAGCAGCTATAGGGTTAAGCCTCGGACTGACCTGTTGGCAAAGTCACAAACAAGTCCCAGCTTAGAGGGCACAGTCTTCTTACCATAATTAGGCTTGACCTTATGACGCTCCCTAGATCTTATCTGGGAAGCTAATGGGCTGAGGGAAGTGCAGCAAGAACAAGAACAAAAACAAGTGAAACTCACAAGAACAGTGTAACTTTGGTAACCACTACCTTGTTTACCTCTGACTATAAAATAGAGGCTCAGCTTGCCTCTACATCTCTCTCTGTGGCCTCAGCCAGGCACTGGGAAGATCCACGGAGAATCTGTCTCCATGTAAACCATTCTTCGCCGACTCCTTCCACACCTTTGGGAACCCCTGGACTGCTGGGGCTGGACCCTGGCAGAGTCTAGTTATTCTTACCTCATGTTTTAAATACCTGAACACATTGTACTACTATGCTCTTAATAAACGTTAGTTACAGTAATTATCATAGATATTATTTTTATGAATAACATTTAAGTATTTCATTTCTTGATATTCTTGTACATTACCTGGAAATTTATTTGTTCTTTCCAAGGGCAATGTATAGACAAGTTTTCCTTCACTTTTTGCTGATAATTTGGCATCAGGGATGTGCTTTGTAACAATGGATGTTATTTTTTCTTGAACACACATTTCATTCAACTGCAAACTGGTGATAAAAAAATAGATCTGTGTTATCTAACATTGTCTCCAATTGCATGAAGAAAATTACTTGTCTCTAGGAGACAAAGAAAAATCACATAAAATCTAATGCAAGAAATAGGTCACCCAAACATGAAATAAGAGGTCGAAAAATCAGATTATATATTGTGCCGACCTCCTAAAGTAAAAGATTTAACTACAATAATGTTAAGCATCTTATCTCTGAATCAATCAATAATAACAGAATATGTTACTATCTAAAAATAGTAATAAAATAAAATGAAGAGAATAACAGGAGAGAAAGAACAAGAGAGAAGAGGAAGAGCTAGGGGAAAGAGAAGAAACAAGGAGTCTGCTTAAGAGACTGTTAAAACCCTGGGTGAGAGATGATGAGGTTGTGAAATACAATGTCAGTTGAGAAAGTTCCCTTAATACATACCTTTCTTACCAAATAATGTGTTGTGGATATATTTTCTATCACATATATCTAAACTTTTTTGTTGTCTTATATTCTCAATTTCTAAAATCTGCCAATCAATAATTCATATACACATACTATATACTCTATATATCTATATCTGTATCTCTATTCTAATCTCTAATCTCTATATCTGTCTATACATCTCATTTTTATTTGTGTATATGTGTATATATGTATACATCAACATCTGTATGTAATAATCAAAAGTTTCCTTGTGTGCTGTGATGCGTTGCTCCGAGCATCATGTCTTGCTTTAGCCCATTTCTCATTCTCCAGCCTCTTCAAGTGGCCATACCTTAAGTGATACCCAATCCCCCATTTCTTCTTTAGAAACAGACTTGAGCCTGCACACTTCAGCTTCCCTTTGGAGAGAAACACTTTCCTGTCTGAAAGCAAAGAAGAAAGTTTGTCAAGAAGTTGACCGTTCTTTCCCCCCAAAAGATAGGTCATTGTCTGCGTGATCCAACTCTAATTCAGGAGCTTCTATATTTTCACATACAGGGCTTCATAAAAACTCAGTGAAATAGACACATTTTAATCTTATTTATATACTTTAGACTGTTGTTTTCCCTTCCAGCCAGTCATAGAGGTTTTGCAGATAAATCTTTGAATATAGAGAATCATCACATTATACATTTTAATGGACCAAACATCAAAATTGTTTGAATATTTTAAGTTGATTTCCTTCAATTTTGAGTAAAAGGACCGATGCCTTTGAATATAGACTCTTCCTTCAAAATAAGTGAGTTTCCTGGCAGATTGTACCTCCATGTAATCAAAGGATACAAAATCCTAGGACATACATAGAAGTGGTTGGGAGTAAGATTCTTGGGCCAGTTCATATCATTGCCAGCTGTTCCAATGGCTGGTTACAGCTGGGAGACCAGGTTACACAATACAGCTGCTGAGCATATAATCCATATTTCTCAAATCTCATGAAGTTTTCATCATGATACTTAAAGGAAACCAGTATCCAGTACTTACCAGCCAGGATATCAGCCTCATCCATGAACTGGGTACTGAACACGATCACACGGTCCATTTTCCGCTCCTTCAGCAAGTTCCACACTTGATGCCTTGAAAAGGGATCCAACCCAGCAGTTGGTTCATCCAATAGGAAAATCTACAGTGGAGGGGTGTATATAAAAGGATCTTTCCAATAAAGTATATAGTTCTCCCAGAAAACACGTTGAAACCATGTCATTTATATTTCAAAGATCATTGTGGTTAGGACTTTGTTCTTATATATGTCCCATCATAAATATTTTATCACAGGTGTCCTTTGCAAATAAAAGGTAGGAACTACTATGGAAAGTTTTAATTTAAAAAATTTAATCCATCTCTAAATTTCATCTTGACTTGAGCCTGCACACTTCAGCTTCCCTTTGGAGAGAAACACTTTCCTGTCTGAAAGCAAAGAAGAAAGTTTGTTAGGAAGTTGACTCTGTTCTTTCCCCCCAAAAGATAGGTCATTGTCTGCGTGATCCAACTCTAATTCAGGAGCTTCTGTACTTTCACATACAGCGCTTCATAAAAACTCATTGAAATAGACACATTTTAATCTTATTTATATACTTTAGACTGTTGTTTTCCCTTCCAGCCAGTCATAGAGGTTTTGCAGATAAATCTTTGAATATAGAGAATCATCACATTATACATTTTAATGGACCAAACATCAAAATTGTTTGAATATTTTAAGTTGATTTCCTTCAATTTTGAGTAAAAGGACCGATGCCTTTGAATATAGACTCTTCCTTCAAAATAAGTGAGTTTCCTGGCAGATCATACCTCCATGTAATCAAAGGATACAAAATCCTAGGACATACATAGAAGTGGTTGGGAGTAAGACTCTTGGGCCAGTTCATATCATTACCAGCTGTTCCAATGGCTGGATAGAGCTGGGTGACCAGGTTACACAATACAGCTGCTGAGCATATAATCAATCCATATTTCTCAAAACTCATCAAGTCTTCATCGTGATACTTAAAGCAAACCAGCGCTTACCAGCCAGGATGTCAGCTTCGTCCATGAACTGGGTACTGAACACGATCACACGGTCCATTTTCCGCTCCTTCAGCAAGTTCCACACTTGATGCCTTGAAAAGGGATCCAACCCAGCAGTTGGTTCATCCAATAGGAAAATCTACAGTGGAGGGGTGTATATAAAAGGATCTTTCCAATAAAGTATATAGCTCTTCCAGAAAACACGTTGAAACCATATTATTTATATTTCCAAGGGCATTGTGGTTAAGATTTTGTTCTTATATTTAATGTCCCATCAGAAATATTTTATCACAGATGTCCTTTGCAAATAAAAGGTTGGAACTACTATGGAAAGTTTTAATTTTAAAAATTTAATCCATCTCTAAATTTCATCTTATTTACCTGAGGATCTCCTAAAATGGCAATCCCAAAAGTGAGTTTTCTTTTCTGTCCACCACTTAAGTTTTGAGCAAGGACGTCTTCAATACTGTCCATTTGCAACTCCAGCACAACTCTTTGTATCTAACCAAATGACAACATTTGTGTCACGTACAAGATTCCTTTCTGTTTTTATTTTTACATTGATAAATACAAGGCAGGAAAGTGTAATGGTTAAAAGCACGCATTCTGAGCCAGAATGGACTAGATTTGAATACCACTCCACATTAACTAGCTACATAGTCATGGTCAAGTTACTTGCTCTCTTAAACCTCAGTTTCCACATATGTAAAATGGGAGTAATAATAGCATCTATCTTATAGAGTTGTTATGGGAAATAAATGACTTAGTATATTTAAAGCTAAGGATAATGGTTGGCATATAAATTATACATAAATGTTAGATAACCATTTAACTCAGATAAATACCTAAATTAGATTTTTTGTCCAACTTTCATACAATGACTTTGTTCAAAGATAATTTAATGAAAGCATAAAAACTCAGTGCAAATAGACTTAAAGATCTCATTTTGGCCAATATGTTAGTTCTGATATTTTTATGTACCTCTTGTTCCATTTCCTGTGGTGGAATCCCTTTTATCTTAGCAAAGAGTCTGAGATTTTCTCTTACAGTGAGGTAGTCAAATTGCACATTGTATTGTGGGCAAATTCCAGTGAGCTTGCTGATATTTTCTAGGTCAGCCATTTCTGAAAGTTTATTACTATACACGGTGACAGAACCTATAACAAAGATTAAAAGTTAACATCAGATTATACTTAAGATATTTTTCTAAATGAAAAGCCACGATAGAGTTATTGATTGCATTCTAGATAATATGGTTTTAGCTTCAAGGTTTATACAACTCAGGTATTGTGAACTTCCATTTTAGTTGTGTGGTGTATGGGGTGGGAGAAAGGTCCCTTCTGCAGTTTTTTCCATTAAGATGTAGTCTACTTATTCTCCCCTCATAGTTAGGTGTGGTGCTATAATAAAGAGAATTTTAGCAGATGTGATATAAGCAGGGATTGCGAAGTGCCTCCACCCTGGGGTTGCCCTCTCTTTGCTTCTGGAATCATGGGTATCACTGGATGAAGAATCCCTAACTAGCTTCCTGGGGGATGTAGAAAGAGAGGTGCTGTGGTTCTAACTAGAGCCTCACATGTGTGAGTAAGGCTGTGCTAAAGCATCTGACCCCAGGTATTTTAATCCAGACAGAAAAACCACCAGCCAACCCACAGAGTAATGAGAAATAAGCAAACATTTTTATTTTAAGCTATTGGCTTTGGGAATGCTTGTTGCGCAGCAAAAGCTAACAGATACAAGTTGGAATGCCAAAGGACCAGAAAATAAATCATGAAATAATCAAATTCCATTAAATATTGCATACCTCTATAGAATACTATAAATTAACTTCCGTTTATTTCTGGTAATCTGTGTTTGTGATTAATGATCACAAGAACTTTTTATTAACAGCTGATTTATTTGTCAGCCTGACTTTGGGGGAGAAGAACCCTCTTACCTTTGGTGGGAACAGATAACCCACTAAGAATGTTCAATAGTGTTGATTTTCCAGCTCCACTGTGACCAAGTATTGCAGTGATTTGGCCTTCATATATGTCAAATGCCAGATCTAGGAAGAAAAAAGAAAAGGAAAGAAGGCTGGGAGAAAGGAAGGAAGGAAAACAGGTAGGGAGGTAGGAAAAAAACTACAAATTTATTGTGGAGCTTAAATTTGTCTTTTTATTTCCTTGAATGGCCATGTTTTCTATATATGAATATATTAGGTTGTTAAACTCAAAATAAAAAAATATGCTTTTATAAATTTATATGTGCATCCTCTTTTAAAAATTTGAAATCACTTGTTTTAAAACCAAGAAACTTCTTACTAGTATACTCTTAAGTTCATTGATATTGCCTGGTATATGGCAGGTGAATGTTAATATTTATTGACTAAATAATATAAATGATACTTTAATAGTTCAGTAAATTTTTATGTGGATAAAAATCCTTTGGTGTATATGACATTTTTGCCCAAAATAAAAATAGCAATATTTACAATAGCTTTAAAATTACAGAAGAAAGCCAAAACCGGTTTGGCTCAGTGGATAGAGCGTCGGCCTGTGGACTGGAGGGTCCCGGGTTCGATTCCGGTCAAGGGCATGTACCTGGGTTGCGAGCACATCCCCCGTGGGAGATGTGCAGGAGGCAGCTGATCGATGTTTCTCTCTCATCGATGTTTCTGGCTCTCTGTCTCTCTCTCTTCCTCTCTGTGAAAAATCAATAAAATATATTTAAAAAAAAATTACAGAAGAAAAATTTGAGTTTGTAGAGAACAACCCAGAATAGCCTTAGACTACCTCAGTATGACACAGTATATCTTTCAAAGTCATATATAATTTGAAAACACAATCAATTTTTTCTTTTACATAGTAGAAATAATTGTTAGAAAGGAAATTTTATCATATGACTAAATAACTAATTTCAAATCTGAAATACCACCAGTAATTGTTCACCAAGTGTAAGAAACAAGAATGAAAATCAGAAAATTATTATCAATATAATAATTAAATGTTACCTTTCAAAGCTTTTACTTTATCAGGCTTTCCTTTATATTCTTTTGTAACGTTTCTTATTCTAAAAAAAAAAGAAGAAAAAGAGGTTTCAAGTTCTGACGATTTTTTTCAGTTGGTAATTCTATGTTTGGCTGACATGATTTATGAATCTGCCCCCTTCAGGGCATAGAAGAACTGGGAATTTATAGTACCCTTTGGAAATCATGCTTGTGTGTGCGAATCAGGTAGAGTATTTTTCCCTAGCCTTGGCTGCACATAGCTTCACCTGCGAAAAAAATTTTTTAGTATGTTTTATTGATGTCAGAGAAGAAGAGAGAGGGAGTGAGAGATAGAAACATCAACGATGAGAGAGAATTACTGATTATCTGCTATTGCACCCCACACTCTGGAGACTGAGTACACAACTCAGGCATGTACCCTGACCGGGAATAGAACAATGACCTCCTGGTTCATAGATCAACATTCAACCACAGAGCCACGCAGGCTGGACCACCTGCCAAGTTTTAAAGTTTCCCTATGCTTGGAACACATCACCAGATAATATTATTCCAACGACTGAGGTGGAACCTTACATTACTATTGAAAACCAGGATCATTTCTAAACTGCAAAGCCAAAGAAGCTAGACCAAGAGGTAACACAGGCATCCATTCCTGAAGGGCTCATTGTGAACTACTGACTCAGGCTGGAGATACCTTTGGTTAATTTGAGTCAAGGTCAGGGTGGAGTAAGGGAGAGAGGCAAAGATCATAACAGTGAGAGCAGTGGGTTTTACAGTCCTACCCACCTGAGCTCACCCCAGCTAGAACATTTAGTAGCTGTTACCTTAGCCAATGTAATATTCTGAGTAAATTTGGATTTTGTAACCTAATAATTTGGAGTGCTTTAGGGCTGTGTGGAAGGATGAGTAAAGTATTTCATCTTGCGTGCATAGTGCTTGGTTCTTGATAAGTATTCAGTAAACATCAGATGATATTGGTTTATGATGATGATTATGGTAATAGAAAGGAATGGAATTAGCATGTTGGGTGCTATTATAGATCTGGATTCCTAGGCATTTCACCTATTTTATTTTATCAGAAACATATCCATAAACTGCATCAAATTTATGTTTCTTATTTTGTCATTTATTCATCAATCCAGGTTCCATTCATATAGAACTGTTTAGATTTTCTCATTTCTGTTTTAATCCCATTTTACCATCATTCTACATAGTCCTTATAGTTGAGTGAGCTGCTAAAGAGATAGAAAAATTAAAATAAACATATGAACACATCAACTATAGTCATTGCTTTGCTCCCAGTTGATCTGCTGGAGGTTAAACCTAGCTTAGGTCACAGGACAAATATAAGTATGGAAGATAAATATGGGACAGATTAAAATAAAAAATTAAATGGTTCTAGAAGCTCAGTAGTCTGGAATAATATGAGACAGGTCATAGAAGACTGACATATATGCTGGACACAGATAGATGAATAAAATTTGAATAGTCAGGGATGTTGAGAAATTTCTTCCTAATTTTTTATTTGAAAAGAAAAGTTCCTAGCACGGAACAAAGCACATTCTAAAAGGCACTTCTCCCTCAATTCCCTTTGTGACTATCTCTAGGTCTTCTCTTCCTTCCTCTTCCCTACTCTTTCATCTTCTTTGAAAGGGCAATAAATAGAAAAGAGAAGTTTAAAAATTGAGAGGAAAATACAGGAATATAATAAATGAGGTGGGAGCCATGTATGAGTAAATGTGTCCAGGCAAAGAAAAGACTGAGATGGAGGCTAAGGTTGGAGAAGACAACAGAGAGAAGATTGAGAATCCAGATCAGTGTTTTGACAAATTATCTTTGTGGGTGAAATCTCAGTTTGTATTTAATGTAAATGTCAATAATATAAGACAAAAAAAGGTAAAGGAATTTTTTTTCAGCTTGAAGTGGGAAGTGATGAATGTAGCATGGAGGAGGTTCGATGGGAGCCACCGATAGGGCACTAGAGAGAACTTGGCTTCTTTCAGGTGTGAACTACTAGCTCCTCATTCTTTGGCCTGTTCTCCATCTGCATCCTTGTTACCTGATGGCTTCTTTCCCATGGAATTCTGGAGACACTGGTTCAAAAGAGTCATTAGATGAAGGATCAGAATATATTTCATCTTCAAGGGCCACATGATCAGCATTACGTTGTCGTGACCAAAATGAGGACTTCAGGAAAAACAAGGGTGAGTATTGGTGTTCATATTCATCTATATGGCCAGGAGACAAATTCTGGGTCAATCACCACGTTAAGGGAGAGAGTCACCCCAATGCAGCATAGCAATGCAACCTTTCTGCCAATAAACTTGAAACATGGTCAACACAAAAAAATACATGTTTGGATATATGTAGCTTCTTAAGGAGAGAAAAGACCACTAAGATGTCTCTCTCTATTATAATTATTTTTCCTCTGGGAAGAACTGAAGCTGTGACTTTAAAAATTCTGGAGGAACTTAAATAAATGTTAAGACTCTTCTTAACCTCAAGAACATCAGATATTGCAAGACAAATGCAAGATAGGTCGGGCATGCTGAACTCTATCAACACTGGCAAAGGAGGAAGACTTGAGGACTAACTATTGCATATAAATCAACAATTATTGGAAGAGAAGTTTGATTAGGATTTAAGAAAAATAAGTGACAGAATTGGGGAGACTGTGGCAAAAGGACTTATAGCAAATGAACACAGAGTGGAATTTCAAAAGCTAATTTGAATTCATGCCTTATCTCAACTCCAAATCTAACATTCCTCTGAAGCAAATTTATGATCTGCATTAAGAATGCATTATCCATGAACCTTTTTCTGGAAATGAATCCACAGTATATTTGCACTTAATTATCACTTCTGTTTTCTGACATGTTAATGGACATTATGAAATGGAAGAATTATTTTTCTCTAATATTCTGCAACTGGCTTCCACTGTAAGATTGATGGGTTTTCAAACTTCTGTGTACTTTTCACATGTTCAGGCATTCATCCACGCAATAAATATATTCCGACCACTCCCTACATACCTGTTGTAGGTATATTATTAGTTAGTACCCATCTTTCCCCTGGATTAGGAAGCCTAGCAAATAAAACCATGTAGCTTAATTGAATACATTCTGCCACGAGATTTATTAATACATGATTCTATCATTTTATCTAGTTAATTTTCCTTTCTCACATTGATACTTCTTATCTTTAAAAGAATTTCTAACACAGTAAACTTGGTTAAATTCAGGCTTAAGCCCAGCCTTTTTTTTTTTTTTGAGAGATATAAAGAGTGGGCTGGGGGGCAGGGAGGGAGAGAGAAACATGGATGGGAGAGAAACATCCATCAGTTGCCTCCTACAAGCCCGCTACTGGAGATAGAACCCATCACCCAGCCAAAAAATGCCCTGACAGGGAATCAAACCAGTGACCTCTTGGTTCATGGGTTGACATTCAACCACTGAGCCACACCAGGCTAAATTCAGTCTTAATGAATGGAAGGTACAACTAATTCCAACTCTATAATAAATGTATGAGCCAAAAGTGTAGATCCTGACATCTATTTTTCTGGGCTCTTCTAGAAGGCAGAGGTAGTTATTGTTCTTGAGGCATTACCTAAAACAGCACGATCAAGTCACTGCTTTAAGACCTCGCTATGCATCTTCAGTCTCACTCCCTTCCCTTCTTCCCTTCCTACCTGTGTTTACTCACTGGTGACATTTTTACGCATTCTGTGTGTTTATGCCATTAGTGACTTTCATAATTTTTCCAGCCTTACTGAAGTACAATCAACAAATAAAAATTATATATATATTTAAGGTGTTCAATGTGATGTTTTGAGAAATAATGAACTTGGGGGTGGAAAGAGAATGGGGGTGAGATAAAGAATGGGGAGATTAAAAGGGGGTAAAAGGGAGCTATTTGTAATACTTTAAACAATAAAAACTATATTAAAAATAAATAAAGCAGAGAAACCTGAAAAAAATTACCATCATCAAGCTAATTAACATATCCATCACTTAACATGGTTTCTATGAGACCAGTGCTCTAACCCCTGAGCTATGAAGCCTCGGCTAACATGGTTTCTATTTCTCTGAGTGTGTGTGTGTGTGTGTGTATGTGTGTATGTGTGTGTGGTAAGGACACTTGAGATCTATTTTAGCAAATGTCAAGCATAAAATACATTATCACTAACTATAGTTACTGTAATGTACATTAGATCTCCAGAACTTCATCTTATAAATAAAAACGTGTACCCCTTAACCAACATCTCTCCTTTCTCCACTCACCCCTGTCCCCAAACCCTGGTAACCAGCATTTGACTCTCTGTTACTGTTAGTTTGACATTTTTTAGATTCCATGTATTTGTCTTTCTGTGTCTGGTTTATTTCACTTAGCAAAATGCCCTCTGCACTCATCCACCCATGTTGTTGTAAATGGCAGCATTTCTTTCTTTCTTTTTTAAGGCTGGATAATATTGCATGGTAGATAGATAGATAGATAGATAGATAGATAGATAGATAGATAGATAGACAGACATACAGACAGCACATTTTCTTTATCTATTCACCCACTGATGAACACTTAGGTTGTTTCCATATCCATATCTTGGCTACTCTGAATAATGTTTCAATGACCATGGGAGTACAGATCTCTTTGAGATAGTGATTTTATTTCCTTTGGATATATACTCAAATCTATAAATGGATTAAATGTATAATGAAGGCCCTTGGTGTTCTGTTTTGAATGGGAAATGCAGAGGTGACACAGCCCCTGCCTTTCATTATAAAAGGAGGAAGGAAAAATGCAGCAGTATTTCAGCTGCAAGTACTTACTAAGTCCTTGGCATGCACCAGGCACTGAGGTGGGTGCTTGGGGTTTATCTGGGAACAAAACAGAGCCCTGCTTTTGTGGCACTCATATCCTTTTGTGTTGCAGGTTGATAAAAATGAGGATTGATCACCTATTGACTTTCCTATTGTGAAAATATGCAGAGATCTTTTTGAAATAGTGGTGCCCTGGTCCCACCACTGATAAAATGAATTATAATCTCTGGGAGTTGAGCTGGGCTTAGAAGGTTTTTCAAGTTCCCCAGGTGATTCTGATGTACAGCCAGGGCTCAGAACCACTGAGCTAAATAGTTAGACAAAGTAGCTATAAATTTCCATGACTAAGTACCTAGCCAGACCCACTTAGGAACTAGCTTCCTAAGCATCTCTTAAAAAAGAAACAAGCCACACACAGAGTAGGTGAAGTTTAGACAAAGGCTCATCATTCTATAAGCAAAATTCAGGCTTTAGTTCTGACCAGTCAAAACAGCCAGAGAGAAATAAAGAACTGATTTGGTCACTGGCAATAACCTTGTTGATTTCAATGACCTTGATGCAAAAGATATTTCTTTAAATATAAACCACACGTCTTAGGAGACTCGTTTTAGGAAACGAAATTATTTAAGTGGTGTTTGATTTTAATCGTATCACTACTCACTTGGCAAAATTTTTTCAAAATAAATCGTCAATGCCAGGTAGAGGAAAATATCAAAAACCAACATAAAATGCGTTGCTATTATTTGACTTGAGTAGTTTGAAAAAGCAGGAAATGCATTGGAATTCACATCATAGTCCACACGTAAAAGCTGAAAATTAAAAGGAAATTAATTAAGGGAAATTAGGCTTATGATAAATGTTAAAACAGGTTTAGCATAAAAAATAAAATAAGCTACTCTTTGCCCCATACCGGGAATACAAAGTTGAATAAAACTGACTACTTTACTCTCAAATCTATTGGAAAGCATGCGCACGGGAACAACTATAATGCAAGTTTAAAATATGTTCCCAATGAAATGGGAGTGTTAGGAGGAGGTAGAGGAGTATGGGAAAAGATGACATTTGAGATCTGCCTTCAATAAATCTTTTCCAAATAGAACATGGAAGGAAGGTGTGGTGTTCTTTGAAAATGTCTCCTGAGAGAGAATTCATACTCTTGGAAAGATCGCTGTTGTGTTGAAGAAGAATGAGTGGGCTGGTCTATATGTTCAAGCTAATGAGTGCTTTATAACAAACAGTCCTTGTGTTCAGCACTAAATAACGGACCTGTAATGAGTGACATGACCATTAATTGGAAGAATGGCAAAGTAAGTTCAATGAGAGAATCAGATCAAGAGAACTGACATTTTATGAACAGAAATGTAATTTACTAAATGCATTTTTAAGGTGTTTTTAACTTTGACTTTTCTTTTCTTGAATGGTTTCTACAATCATGCGTGCTGTTCAATTACTAAGTCAAAATATGAACTGGAAGATTTATTTAGTATTAGATTTGTGACATCTTGTCCATATTTAATTAGCTGCCAAAAATAACACTCCAAGAATTATATATTGGCCTTCCATTTTTTCACTCACCTATGGTTTATTTTACTGGGCTAAGTGCTGTGAAAGCTTTTAAAACCTCACAAATAGTCTTTATTAGGATTTTATACCTTACAATACTGAGCATAGAAATGACTACAGACAGTTAAATTCCAGAGAGGAGACAAACATAGGGTTCATACACAGCAAAATAATAGTTTATTTTTATTGAAATATAATTTATTTTATTTTATAGTCTCGTGTTCTGAGATTTGAGTTGCTCCTATAACTCAGTGCATAGAGCATTCTAATTGTTGTGTTTAAGGTAATTATTATGCCTAATCTCACCAGGATGCAGTGTGTACACACTTATCTATGTTTGCATAGCAAATGTAACAAAAATTTCAGATGTCGGTGTTTGATTTTTAATAAAGTAAATAATGTGATACCAAAAACAAAATCCCAGAGAAGAAAGACGGTTCAGAAATGCCATTAATAAGTAATTAGATGGCTTCTCACCTGGGTCATTCCAAGCATGAAGGCAAAGGGGCTGAGAAAACCCAATATCCACTCCAAGGATGCAGGAAGATGCCTGTACAAGACCGTGAATCCTAGACTCCCCCAAAAGACAGTGAGAAGGGACACGACCAGGCCAGTGAGGAATCGTTTCTTTATCAAGACGCTCATTAGAAAAGCCAAAGCTATCTACAGGGAGAGAAGACTAGGTTGGTTTATGTTTCTCTATAAATTATTCCTAACAGAATAACATAAGAAATTGAATATATAAAACTAGCATTATATTAATAATATATGTATAAAATATAAAAAGGTGATCTGAAATTTGCACAAACTGGCATTACAGGTCAAATACCAGTCTACAGACTTTCCTATGCAAACAGAGCAGGCAGGGAAGAAAAGGGTTAGGTAGAACAACAACCTATTTGAAAACCAACACTTAATCTTGTCAGATGGGAAAAAGTGTAATTCACCAACTCACCAAAGACAATCCATAGAGGAAAAAGAGAGTGAAGACCACCATGAAGCCAGTCCAAATGACAAATTTGATAGATTTTATAATAAGCACCAATAAAAGGGAAGCGATGAAGATGAAACCAGCATAGAGCAAACCCCAGGAGAGCCTAATGTGGAAACAAAATGTTATTTTAGTATTTCATGTTACATTGGAAAGGATCTACGGTGGATTCAAACATACCTGGAAGAGCTCAACTTGTGACATTTTAAATTCCAATTACCCAGCCCCTATATACCATCCTGTTCTGCCAGTTTGCTCCCTCAAGTATATCCATCATACCTGATCTCCAAAAGGGCTTCTGATCCCTGACCTCTTTTTTTCCCCTTTCAGCCTCACCCTGGCTTGCGTTCCCCTTCTGGCCTAGGCATTGTCGTTTATCACTTCTACCACACTCTTTCCTGTAGACTCAGTGGCCATCCCCCAGGACCCCTGCTTTGCAATCTCCCCAAAAACCCAAACCTGATATTCTCTCTTCTAGATGCATAGTAACCCCTAGCCTCAACCTCACAAGCATTCCACTAAGGACAATGTATCCCATTCATAGGAAAAAAGGTAGAAAGTCATTACATTTGCATAATGAAGTCCACTTTCCCTAAACTCCTACCTTTATTTATTGGTACACTTGACTCACCAGAATGCTGAATGTCGAAGACCCATCATTGTCATCAAACCCTTCATCCTTTTCCTCTCTCTTGTAACATTAACAGAGGCATAATAAATGAATGGGGAAAAGGAAATAAGGAAGAAGAAAAGGTAGATATCCATGAATATCCCTTTTTGACTCACGAAGGGATGAATCTTCATATTTTTTCCAGTAACTGACATCAATTCCTCCATCACCGAGTGATTTGTTGTGATCTGAAGAAAGACAGTGACTTGTATATTCATGGATGACAGGCTCCGTTTTCTTTCAATCATCTCTTTTACTATGAACACGTAATGGGTCTGTGTGGAGCTGATGCTAGCCCAACATTTCATTTCCCTGTTCTGCCACTGGCCTGCTTGGAGCCTCCACTCCAGGCATCCTGAACTGCACACATTTCCCCAAATTTGCTATGTGCTTTATCGCCTCCCTGCCTAACCTTGCCTGATGATTTGCTTGTAATGTCTTTATGGCATTATCTATTCAGCAAACCTCTTCCCTCAAGCTTCAGGGTGAAATGTCATTTCAATGAGGCATTCTTCCATGGCGTCCTAGGCAGAGATGCTTGTGCTCATTTACCTGGAAGGCCTTTGTGAACACCTGCATGACAGCCTACTTCTCCTCTTGTAAGAAATTAATTCTATGCCTGGCTTACTGAGAAGGTGTCTTCTCTGAGGAGAAAATTTCTCTTCTATTTATACATATCCTCCTTGGCATATGGCAACTCAAATAAACTTTGTTGTAAGGAAACCGCTGAGTAAATGAAATAAAAGTCTATCCTATATAATAAAGAGGTTATATGCAAATTGACCCTCACACCCTCGCACAAGATGGCCGCCCCCATGTGGTCAAAGATGGCCACCCCCATGTGGTCACAAGAGGCCACCACAAGATGGGTGGCAGGGGAGCTTTGCATGGGCGATCAGGCCAGCAGGGGAGAGCAATTAGGGGAAACCAGGTCGGCAGGGGAAGGCAGTTGTGGGGGGAACCAGGCCTGCAGGGGAGAGCAGTTAGGGGTGACCATGCCAGCAGGGGAGGGCAGTTAGGGGTGTCTGGGCCAGCAGGGGAAGGCAGTTGGGGATGAAAAGGTCAGCAGGGGAGGGCAGTTGGGAGCAATCAGGATTGCAGAGGAGGTCAGTTGGGGGCAATCGGGGGTGCAGGGAAGCATTTAGGCATCGATCAGGCTGGCAGGGGCTTGGTTAAGGGGTGTTCAGGCTGGCAGGCAGGCGAGTGGTTGGGAGCCAGCAGTCCTGGATTGTAAGAGGGATCTCAGATTGGAGAAGGTGCAGGCTGGGCTGATGGACCCCGCCCCCCTGCATGAATTTCGTGCACCAGGCCTCTAGTTGATTTATATTTTCTTTGATGAAACTTTAAAAAATTGATTTGAGAGAGAGACGAAGGCAGAAGGAGAGAGAGAGAGAGAGAGAGAGAGAGAGAGAGAGAGAGAGAAACATTGATTGGTTGCCTCCTGTACATGCCCCAACCATGGAAGGAACCCTCAACCTAGGTATGTGCCCTGACCAGAATCGATCCTGTGACCTTTTGGTGCACAGGACGACACTCCAATCAACTGAGCTGCATGGACCAGAGCTGATGAAAGTTTTGATGCTTCTAATACTATTAATCTGCATTGAACACTAGTTTTCATTGGACATTTTTGTACTCACTTCTATAATAGCACCATTAATGGCAGCTTGAAGAGCCACAAAGCCTTCCTTCCAGGGTGTTGTAACTCCACAGTCAATATCTTCCCAATATGTTTCATAACAATGAGCTTTAAGGGAAAAATGTATAACTGTTTTGTTTAAGAAATTATTTTCTATCCCACAGTTATAAAGACATTGTCCTATATTGACTTCAGAAAGGTTTAGAGGCATGTTTTTTTTTTCATTTAATTTTTCATCTGGAATTGTCATTTCATGTGAAATAATTTCATTATGTTCTTTATGGAAAGACAATTTTCCTCACACTGACTGACCTGCAATGTCTTCTGAGCCATATGTTAGTTTTTAGGTCTATGTGAAAACTTTCCAGGGCTCTCTCGTGCTTCACTGATCTACCTGTCTATTACTATGGTAGCAGCACAGTTTTAATCACTTGTAACTTCATTCTTTTCTAAAGAGCATCTTGGCTATTCTGTGCCCTTTTTAGAGGTATATTCAAGAAAAATATATCAATTTATATTTAAATATCTATTATGATTTTGATTGAAATACAATACGTTTCTGAAGAAATCTGGGCAAAATTCATATCTGCAATAAATTATAATCATATAATATATGTATACATGCATATATATCTATACATATGTAAATATAAGTATATATATATATAAAACTACAATATAATATAGTATGTTAATGTACCTCAAAATCACTGTACATTTTTGAAATGTGTTCATTGGCCTGTTGACATCACCTTCGCAGATAAAGATTTTATTTTATTTATTTATTTTTTAAAATATATTTTATTGATTTTTTTTTTTTTTAAATATATTTTATTGATTTTTTACAGAGAGGAAGGGAGAGAGATAGAGAGTTAGAAACATCGATGAGAGAGAAACATCGATCAGCTGCCTCCTGCACATCTCCCACTGGGGATGTGCCCACAACCCAGGTACATGCCCTTGACCGGAATCGAACCTGGGACCTTTCAGTCCGCAGGCCGACGCTCTATCCACTGAGCCAAACCGGTTTCGGCCACAGATAAAGATTTTAAAATTCACTGCACTAACAGCTATTCACACATATGCCTTATGACATAAATTAAATAGAAAGTAGTGGAATTGTATGGCTAGAAAGTTACCTGTATGGTCTCTGTGTTCCTTCTTTGTTGAAATTGGGTTATACCATGAGAATTTCAAATTATATGAGGATATATTAGTAAAGATGACTCCTACTACTTCCCTAGAATGATTTTCCCTTAATTCTCCAATACTTTCTTCATCAGACAGTCCCAAGACGTCTGTCTCTGCCATTATAAGAAAAAAATATTATAATTAACTAGAGACCCAATGAATGAAATTCATGCAAGAGTAGGCCTTTCTTCACCCGGCTGCTAGCATGTGCTTCCCTCTTGCACCCAGGACCCGGACTTCTCTCTGGCTAGCTGCAGGCACTGGGGACCTGGGCTTTCCTTGGAGCCCCAGTTTCGTCTGGAAGGTCATCTGGAAGGACGTCTGGTCTAATTAGCATATTACACTTTTGTTATTACAGATAATATTAGGAGACTAACTTCAGGTTTCACATTCAATTACTTTTACTAAAGTTCTTTATGGAAATAAAATTAAATCAAATATCAATTGGGAGTAAGTCAGGCACAAAGTTGGGTACAGACATTTCTACTTAAAAAATATATTTTTTATTGATTTCAGAGAGGAAGGGAGAGGGAGAGAGAAAAAAACATCAATGATGAGAGAGAATCATGGATCAGCTGCCTCCTTCATGTCTCACACTGGGGATTGAACCCACAACCCGGGCATGTGCCCTGACCTGGGAGGCGAACTGTGACCTCCTGCTTCATAGGTTGATGCTCAACCACAGAGCCATGCTGGCTCGTGGGACAGACATTTCTATAATTTTATCCAGAGAGTGTGTAATCAGAAGACATACATAAAAATTATTTTCATATGTTGGAATTATTGAACCAGTTTTAATTATGTATAATATACCATATCAATTAAACCACTCACAGAAGAATTAGCATTACAATAAATCTAGAATTAGCATTACAATAAATCTAAAATTTTATATATGTATATGACAATTAGGTACTGGTTTATATCAGGTGGAAATAACTATGCAACTTCATTTTTCTTGAGCAATCCTCATAGTGGTGGTTAATATGCTGAAAAAAAGAGTTAAAACAAAAACTATATGAGTGCTTATGTTGATATCACTAAAATAATCCGTCTTTTTTGCTAAAATTGTGTTCAATGCCATATAGATACTTTAGTAAGACTGAAAAATGAGAAGAAATGGAAGAAAAGTTCTGGATTGGGGTGGGAATGTCAAAGATCAAAGTGGAGGTAGCATGTATTTTGATAGAATTAACATTGTTCCCCCTGGGATAATATTTTTCATTAAATGTGTTATAATCATGAGTAAGTCTCTTAACCTTTTTCAATTTCTATATTTGTAAAATAAACTTAATATCAATTATTATTAGTACAGAATAGTAAGCATAGTACAGATAAATATAATACAGAATAATACCATTAATATTACAGAATAATATTCTATTATTATAGAACAAAGTCTAAAAATCTAGCACATAGTAGCATTTCATGAATATTTATTATCATTATTGCAAATGACCTTACTGTAAAATAAAGATAATAACACATTCATTGTGAAGACAAGCTCCATGTAAAGATCTAGCACACAATAGTCATTTAATGAATATTTATTATTGCAATTGCCTGTGACTTTTAACAAAGGTGTTGTTGAGAAGCACATGTTCATGTCATTGGGACCCCTAGGAAGACACTGTGAAACAGGGTAGGAACAAACCCATCTCAGGGTAGACAGGAAGAGTAGGCCTCAGTTTGTCAGGCAGATCAAGTTAAGATCTTGAATCAAAAGTAGATTCAGTGTTTGCAGGCAAGATGCACAGTGTAGACATTCAGATTCAAGTGGAACTAATGGTGTGATGTTCCATGCGGTACCATGGGAAAGCTAGGGAGGTCTACACACACCCTCCTGGCCTGTCTGCAGGGAAGCAAGGACAGGAAAGAAAAGTCTACATAATCTGGGATGTGCAGTCATGAATACAGACTGCAGAGCAGGTGGACTTCTGGATACTGAGTTCAGATATGGAGTCAGAATCCAAAGACAAAATGCATGGTTACTGGGGCCAGAGTGGAATTATGCACAGAGGTTGACAAAAAGAAGAGACATTAATTCTATAACTTCCAGTGACTGGGTGGAGCAAGTCAGGTTGCATCCTATCTAATAAAAGACAAACAGGGTAATTGACTGTACCTTCACTACACTTCCCATTGGCTAATCAGGGTGATATGCAAATTAACTGCCAAGAAAGATGGCGGTTAATTTGCATTTCTAGGCACAATGATGGGAGGTGAAAGGGGAAGGACTGAAGAACGATGATCGGAAACACAGGCGGCAGGCAAGAGCCGGGTGGCAGGGCAAAGGCGGCCCTGGTGGCCACCTTTGCCCTGCCCCCTGGCCCTGGATCAGAGAATCAGGGTGCCTTTGCCCATCCCCAGCCGGTGACCACGATCGGAAAGCTGGGCAGCAGGCAAGGCGGCACCCCCGGGACCCAGAAGCCGCCATGCCTGTGGCCCGTGATCCTGATCGGGAAGGCTTGGAGGCGGCTCTGGCCAAAACAGACACGGACAGGGACAGGGGGCTGGCCTGCAGCCTCTGCAGCTGAGTGCAGGCCCGGAGAGGAGATGGCGGGCCTGCCTCCCGCAGAACCGCCTCCCATGGAATCTGCACGAGTCCCTCCATGCTCCAGCAGAAGTGGCTTGACTCCCTCCCACCTCCCATGGAATCAGCATGGCTCCCTCCTGCCTCAGGTGGAAGCAGCGCAGCTCCTGGCGGTGCACTGCAGTCCCTGCCAGCTCCCGCGGAAGCAGTGGGCAGCCTAGTGCCCAATATTGTGCAATGGGCAACTAGTTTATAATAATAAACTCTTGGTAGAGAATTATGGTGCCTGAAATTAATACTGAGTCCCTCCCAAGTCATGTTTTTCTATTCTTTTTTAAAAAAATTCGAGATTTAGTTCCATAAAAGTCACACTTTAAACTGTGCAATTTCATGATTTTCAGAATAGTCACAAAGTTGTGCAAGCAGAAAGCCACTGTCAAATTATAACTCAATTCACATTTATGGGGCAATCACCATAGATTCCCCTTTGAAGTGTGCGTTTATATTTGTAAAAAAACAAAACAGCTGCTTTAATTACCTGACATCCAGTCCTCATTCTAATAAACACCTTAACATTTATCTATGATACTGCCTTTCTTCAATTCACACATCCTGTGGTTTGGATGTGGTTCACAGGGGGATCGGGAAACCCATCCGATGGACAATGACAATACTTTTATCTCCCTATCCAATGAGATTAGTTCCTGATGGACCAAGATCCAGACTAATCTGAAGAAGACCATTGTTTCATGGGTATAATTTCCAAAATTATTTAGAACTGTTGGGAAAGATCTTTATTCCTTTCACTGGAGTTGTTTATGTGGTAGGGCTAACATGGGAGATTCTGAAGACTAACTCTGCATCTTTTGGGGGGAGCCTACCTGTGAATGAAGGCAGCACACATTGCTATAGACCCGAGAAGTAGACACATATTTCTCCCTCTGCTGTTGACACTCACTTATCCAGCTGTGCTTTGATACTCTTTTTCCTTAAGCTGCACAAAAGATGCCCCTTTTCCTTACCACAAGATGAATTGGAAGTCCCTCATTCTCAACTGGAATATTCATGAAAAATATAATACTGTTAACTCTATTTTAAATATGGTGGTGAGACTCAGAGAAGTTGATGACTTGTAAAACGTTCTATAGACATAACACAGAACTACTTTCGTCAAATGCTCTCTGACTCTATGTCCAGTTATCTTGCCTCTGCTCTAGGCTGCTTCTCCTCAAATTTCAGGAAATTGTTGCAGACACGATCTTGACAGTAAGAATGCTCATCTTATTTTTCATTGATAAGTACCTCACCATTAAAGGGTGAACAACTAAAACGCAGAATACTCTTCAACAGAATCTTCAAATATAGTTAGATAATCATTTTGGTATTGAAAGGTGAGAATAAAATTCCTATAATCAAATTTAAGAGGAGAAAAGACTGGTTGTTTTTTGGATATAATAATAAGCAAATACTAGAGCAATCGTCTCATTCCAGTAACAAAGCTTCCACAGCTACAAGTCAACAAATCGCTAAACACTCCTCCGTTTCAACATCTACCCATTTGTGTATCCCATGCTTCCCCAAACCCTACACAACATCAGCCGATTTCTTTGTTGAAAGACTGCACACTGCAAGTGGTAATCCCTTGCTTGGCAAGAAATACATTCATAGTTTTGACTTAGATATGGACTCTTATGCTCTGGAAAGGGAAAATACATTCACATCTCTCATTACCTAGAAATGGTGACAACTGATATGGTTATGAACGGAAATACAAATTAAATGCACACACCTGCAGTCAAATGAACCAACTATTGACATTAGAAATTCCTCTTAGATTACTAGAAAACTCACCATTTATCAAGGAGGCCAAGGCAACTTTTTTCATTATCTGTTGGGTTATATTGGTGAGAGGTGTATATGCAATCATAAATGTAGATAGGTTAAATGAATCTACCCGTCCCAGGTCCATGGTAGGCAGTGAAGAAAAATCAGTGACTTCATGTCTAATAGGATATAGGTACAAAGAAAGCAGTAGGAGCAATAAGCTCAACCATTCCTACACAATGCAAAGGAAAAAGAAAGAAAATTATGATCTCAAATAAGCCACCCACAATCATTGGGTCATACAGTTTGTCTTATTCACTTTTCTCATTTCAATATAGCACACATTCTGAACCATTTACAATAGGGACAGTACAAATTTTAGCAGTCTCGGTAATAAATGAGCTATTACTAGGAGTTTATTTGTTTTGTTTGTGTATTTTTGTTGTTGTTGTTCATCCTCACCCAAGGACATTTTTCCATTGATTTTTAGGGAGAGTGGAAGAGAGAAGGAAAGACGGAGAGAAACACTGATGTGAGAGAAACACATCAGTTGGTTGCCTCCTGCCTGAGCCCCAGGGCCCACCAGGCCGGGGAGGAACCTGCAGCCAAGCTCTGCGCCCTTGAACAGGATTGAACCGGGACACTTTTGTCCTCAGGCGAGCACTCTACCCACTGAGCCAAACCAGCTAGGGCTTACTAGGAGTTTAAGTGTTTTGATCCACAGCGCCAGTGGAAAGCATGCACTGGTCATGCAAATATGAGAGGCAAAAGTGGCAAGCTATTATAAATTATCAGCTGATAGTACTGTGGTGACCTACTCATGCTGTGCAGGCAGATCTTGTTTTATTGCGCTCTGCTTTACTGCACTTCACAGATGGTGCATTTTTGCAAGTTGAAGGCAAGACTTTCCACCAGCAGAAAGATTACCAAGAGCTTGATTGCGATCCTCACTTTATTACGGAGGCCTGCAACTGAACCCACATACCTCCGAAGTATGCCTGTATTTGCTTCTGCTGAAAGTATATGTGTAATAAGAGACAGTTTTAAGGCATTGCACAATTAATGGTAATGTATTGGTTTCATACCCAGATTCTAGTATTGGAAACTCAACAGCCTGTTGGCAACCTGAGAAACACTATCTTGTTAGTTATCAATACTAGTCACTTAAACACTACCAATAAGAAATCACTCTATTCCCTAAAGGCATGATTGTAGAAAAAATTTCACAATAGATATACAGTAAAATCCCTCCTTAGTGAAAAGTGCTACTGAGCTAAGACTATCTGATTTTCTTTTTTTAAATATCAAAGTTTACCCAGAATCTTTGTTATATGGTAAAATTATAAGTTCTAATACTAATTTTCTTCTTGGCACTGAACACATTTCCAAATTATCCACTAATTTTGAAGATAATGATTTATTTATTTTTTAAAATAGAAAAGTGCCAATTACTGTTTCTGTGGGTTGATTTGTTTACATCTTCAGAATATCAGTATCCTAACCCAAGGATCTATGCGTGGGAACACTGGTAAAAAGTGTGACCATTGCCCAGCTGTTGTTGCTCAGTGGTTCAGCATCGGGCTATGAACCAGGAGTTCACAGGGTTGATTCCTGGTCAGCACACATGCCTGGTTTGCAGGCTTGATCAACAGTGGGGGGCGCAAAGGAGGCAGCCAATCAATGATTTGCTCTCATCATTGATGTTTCTATCTTTCTCTCTCTTTCCCTTCCTCTCTGAATAAAAAATATCCTTTTTTTAAAAAGTGTGACTATTGACTTCTAAAACATTGATTGGGTTCTCTGGTGTTGACCAACTTCAGTGCCTTCAGACCTCAAATGATGAGCATGTGTAATCAAATTATCTTGAGAAAAATTTCTTCTATTGTATAAAGGTGTTGTTTTTTGCTTTTTTTTTTCTGGGCGAGAAATAAACAATCAGAGTTACCTCCCAAGGAATGGACATTTTTCAATCATAAAGAAAGAAGAGAAACAGATATTGAATCATACCATTAAGGACTCCCTTTTCATTCTCCATTTTCTAAGCAAATTCTTGCATAATAAGGCCCAAGTTTGTTGACACACACTTCTCTCTCTCTTACTCATGTTGCCCTGTTTCATAAGAAAAGAAAAGGAGAGAAGGTAAAGCATATATGATAGTCTTAATGGGAAAAAAAATCCTGCAAACACACAAACGAGCAGCCTGAGAACTCCAGTGTTCTGAATCTGAGTGACTAGTACCTGAGTGTTCCAAAGTTAGCATTTTATTACTGGACCTGCTCCCCTCTGCCCCCATCTTTCTCACGAATAAGTTCTTGTTTTGGAGGATCTTTCATTGTGTTTTATACTCATGTTAAACCTGGTTTTTCTTTGCCTCTAGTTTTTCCCACATTCTTACCTTCTGCTATTTTTTTTATCAACCTTTCATTCTCCTCTCCATGTTTTCCCTCTTATCCTAAAGATATCATGGTTACTCTTTAAAAAAATGAAAACATTTGAAACTTAAAAGAATTATTTATTTACTTTTGTTGTTGTTTATTCAGGAAGGTTATTTTGTATTTTAGTTGTAATTCCAGATTTGCCTATAAATTGTATAGGTTCCTATGGGGAGGCTGTCATGCATTTGAGCTTGGGCTCCAGATGGAGGTAGAAATTCGACCCGACTGCTCTCAGACAGGCGTTAGCTGGGTGAAAAACCCAGAACCCTCTGACTTGTGTGAAGGCCAGCTTATTGTGAAAACATTCCAGGGACTCTGCCCAAAATTGTCTGCAGAGAGCAGCGTTATGCTTCTGTAGATATTGCACCAGGAATACACAGTAGACCACAGCCCTCCTCCAAGTAAAAGTAGCAAGTCACAGATTTAGCATATGCAACCTTGAGCATAGGAGAGAGAGGAGAGAGTGAGTAGGAGTTGTGGTGGTGAGGATTATTAGGTAGGGGAATTTATATAGTTTTTGTTGTGTTTTTTTCAGCAAGGATCTGGAATACCTCCCAGAAGGAGGTGCCTCAATGCCTAACAACAGTGCCACATCTTCCCATTGCCTCATAACCAATATCACACAACACGACCTGCTGAGCCTGCCCTGAACACCGTGGGACGGGAATGCTCGCAAAGCTCACTACAGGAGAAAACTGTGCATCTGAGCTGATCTCTAGGAAGTAAGGGGATTCTGGGACGATCTCTAGTTTTCTGGGAAGCATGCCCAGTGACTCGGAAGACTAGGTCAGGACTTTTGAGCACAGAGCAGCGTCTCCACCCTGAATGTGGCTTTTCAGTCCTGAACCTGGAGCAAGCCGTCTGCTCCCTCTATGTGTACACAACATTGGCCAGGGATAGAAAGCAGGCCGTTGTCATGGACTCCTCCACCGTGATAACGAGTGGGTGAGTGTGCCCCTGCCTGGAGCTCTCATTCCATTCGTGGAAGAAGATGCCGACAGGGCTGTGCTATTTCCTGGAGACAAAACTGGAGAAATGGGTCTGGGAGCCGGTTCCAACGCCAGGCTTATTACCCAAGACAGGCTCAGAGGGCATTGCCAGAGGAAGAACCTACACGTGGATGTTTCGTGAGTCCAAGAGGCAAGACTAGGGAGGAGAGGACTGAGTGAAGAGGCTGGAGAGCCCATGGAGAGGCAGGCGGAGGGAGGAAGAGATTCTTGGAAAAAAGCATTAGGTGAGGGTGTCCAGTGAGAGGGGCTCAGGATCCCCATAGATGGTTCTAGTGCCAAGAATTCAAAGTAACCACTTAAAAAAAATCCTCACCCCCACTGATGTAAGAGAGACACATTGACTGGTTGCCTTCCATATTCTCCCCGACCCCACCCCACCCCCCAAATGGGGCTGAGGATTGAACTTGCAACTCAGGTATGTGCCCTTGACTGGGAAGCAAACCTTCGACCCTTTGGTCTAAGGTTTGATGCTCTAATCAATGAGCAAAACCATCCAGGGCCAGAATAATCACTTTTAAAGCGACTGTGCAGGGCTGTGCAGGTGGGTAAACAGGCCAAGAGGGCAAACTCCTCACTGTGAAAATGTCAGGGTGACTCCAACCCCTTAGCCTTTCCATTGTAAATTAGCATCGCCTACTGTATTTTCCCTGAACTTACGTATGTTCTGTAGTTTATCCAAAGACTAACAACCACGTGAATTCCTTTTTATACAAGCAGTAGGCAGTTTCAAAGGGTACTTACTCTGATCCTCCCCCTGTCCTATGGTTGTTGCATTCAGAACAAAATGTTTACACTGCAGGCGTGTGAAAGCTCTGTGTCCTGCAAAGCAAACAAGTGTTGGGATGAGGAAAAGCTGCACATTTCACATTTGGACCCAATACGTGGTGTGCACAGAGCAGAAAACCCTGGAAGGCAGCTTTCATTTCTAAAATTCTTAGAGCCCAAGCGTGAGAGGCAGGAACAATAGACATACAAGGGTGCGAAAGGCAGGTTCACAGTCTATCGTATGGAAAATGAGACAATAATTAGCAAATAATTATAACACAAGAATAAACGCTGTGCTTCATATACTCACAATAGTCAAACTGCTTTTGCCCACCCCTCTGTTTCTGTAAATATTTTTCATAAACAGACTCAAAATCAGAAAAAGAAGTTTATCACAATGCCCCCAAGATATTGTGCAATAAAAGTGAAGACCTTCAAAGACAATCTAGGTTTACAAATGAATTCTCAGTATTTTTAGTTCTCCACAATCTCTGAACAAATTTCAGCTTATTCCTACATTCAGTTTCTGGCTTAAAACCACATAACAGGTGGAAAACTTTTTTAAAAAAAATATATGTTTTGACTCAGTTTTACAATTTTACAATTTTCATTTTTACAATTTTAAGTACCAGATGTCCAAACATATCCAAATAGTCCATTCATTTTCAAAATAGTTTCTCTACAGATAGTTGGCTTTCAATTCCTAAAGACTTATTTATAATTTTGTGATAGGGAAAAAAATACACACACCTTCAAACAAAACAGAAAAAGACAATGAACTTACCTTTGAAACGTGAAGCATATAATCTAGGAACACATTTTACCCAGTGCTCTCCTTTTATAGAAGGAAGCAAGTCACATTGTTTCCCCGAACTCGGCCGCATCTATAGATTTTTCTTTAACTGTTTGGCTTCCGGAAAAAGTTCCCGGGGAGACTAATTCCACAAGAGGCTATGATCTCAGTTCTGTTGGCCCTGCCAAAAAGCACTCATGTGACTGCCCTTGGACTATTTCTCTCTCTCTCTCTCTGTGTTTTTGTAAAATTGAGTAATTATATGTTATCTTCATTCTCAGTGTTTCAGTTGAGTTAACAGAAGCATGAGAGTTTCAGAATAAACTTATTTTTTTACCAAGTAGCAGACCCAAGAAAAAGTTAAAAACTTAAAAAAAAAGTTTTAAACGTCTATTTCCCAACTGATTATCCTACTTAAAAATCAATACTATCTCAAGGGTAATATTCTTTTCACAAGCTCAAAAAGCAACAATTTTCTGTAACTACGTTAGAACCTGCCTCAGTCTTTGATAGCAATCTCCTTAGATAATTCTAATTGCACAATAACATGCCTTTGTTCCTCTCTCCATTAGCCACAGACTCGTAGAAGACATGGGAAACGTCTCATATTTGATCTCTAATCAGGATCTACTGAAGGCTTCTGAATAAAAACAAAAATGCAGCAAATTACTTAACTAAATCTGCAGTCACTTTGAGATGGAGATGGCACCATGGAAACAATGAACTAAAAACCAGATAAACTATTTCAGACTTCCACAGAGATTGAAGGGAGTCATCTTTTCTGTAGTTAAGACTTTATATTTGTTCCTGGCCAGAATGGTTCAGTTGGTTGAGCATCATCTTGAGCACCAAAATGTTACTGGCTTCATTCCTGGTCAGGCACATACCTAGGTTACAGATTTGATCCCTAGTTGGGGTCTGTATGGGAGGCAATTGATTGATGTTTCTCTCTTACATTGATGTTTCTCTTCCCCTCCCTCCCTCATCAATACATGTATCCTTGGGTAAGGATTAAAAAAAAAGGCAGCTGGGTCTTATAGTTGAATCAGAGGACCAAAAGTCAATAGTCTCCTTTTTTCTTCTTCTTTTCAGTGTATTCAGGCACTACTCTTTGTAGTCCCCAGGTGATTGTTTAACTCCAAAGCATTTCCTTGTGTTTTATTACTTTAAAAGATATATTTTTTATTGATTTCAGAGAGGAAGGCAGTAAGAGAGAGGGTTAGAAACATCAATGATGAGAGAGAATCATTGATCTGCTGCCTCTTGCATTTCCCATACTGAGGATCGAGCCCACAACCCAGTCATGTGCTCTGTCCAGGAATGGAATCATGACCTCCTGGTTCATAGGTTGACACTCAACCACTGAGCCACACCAGTCTGGCCATTTCCTTGTGTTTTAAAGGGAGCTCGTTAGGTGGTATTGCACAGCAACTGTCCAACAACTGTAAGGCGAAAGACTAGCAGTTTGGGAAAGAAATGAGAGTGCACCATATTCAATGGAAAGTTGAGCCTTCGCCTAACTTGCCAAATAGAAAATACATGGAGCTCAGTGAAGATGAACTTAATCTTGCACAGTGAGGGTTGGCACTTGGAGTTGGTGTTTTGAGTGAGGGTGTGGGTGGATGAAGCCCTTTGGTTTAGTTGCAGAGGATTTCTTCCAACCTAAGCATATTGTGGAAATAGGAAGGTCTCCACCCATGCTGCAAACTATCTGTCTATCCAGTCATTTTCTCCAGAACATTTTGTTTTAAATGTGAGTCATTTGGTCACTGACTTACAGGGTAAGATCTAGGTAGATGCCCATCTGGTGTGGCTAAGTGTCAACTCATCAACCAGGACAGGACACACGCCTAGACTATGGGCTCAATCCCCATTAGGGGGCGTGCAGGTGGCAGCCAATCAATTATTCTCATTGATGTTTCTAGCCCTCCTTCCCTCCTCCTTCTTCTCTCTGAAATCAATATTCTCTGTGTAATATTATACTGGCATGTATACTCTGTATCACATTATAAAGAGCAACCTGATAGAGGAAATCCAGTATGCATAAGCTTTCCTCTATTATGGCCAAGATGATTGTGGCTCACACCAAAATTTTTAAGCACTGTCTTCAAACCATGAGAAAGGAAACAGTTTCATCAGAGGGAAGCTCCTCTCTACACAAAACTCTCGACTGCCCAATTGATAATCTCACTTCGGAAATCAAGATTTTCACTCCTTTCTTTCTCATTTACATTCAGTTCCAAGTATTTTCTAATCCCCCTCAAGACTTACTCTTTGAGCCATGAATTATTTAGCAATGTGTTGTTTCCTTTCCAAGTCTCTGACGATTTTATGTTATCTTTGGGTTATTGATTTCTAGTTCAAATCTATTATAGTCAGAAAATTTATTTTTTTATGTCAAATTGATTAGGACTTGCCTTATAATCCAAGATGTCATCTGGCTGGGTGAATATTCCAAATGCAAGGAGGTATATTCTGCTATTGAGTGCAGTGTTATATAAATGTCATAAAATCTAGTTAGTTGCTAAGTTTTTCTGTTTGTTTTTTTGTTGTTGTTGGTTTTTCTGTCTACTGGTTCTATTGATTACTGGAAGAAGAGTAGTGAAGATTTTACCAATAATTAGAGACTTTGTTTTTCTTTTCAGATCTAACAGATTCTGCCTCATGTAATTGGAAATTGTGGTATTGGGTGCATACACGTTTAGGATGGTTGCTTCTTCTTGGCCTTTTTATCGTTATGTAATGTCCATCTTTATCCCTGGTAACTTTCTATGCTCCAAAGTCTACTTCGTCTGGTGTGAATATGTCATTCCCATTATCTCTGACCAGCTAACCAGATGACTTCTCTATCATTTCAATATTCTTTACTCTAATGAAATTAACCAGAAGATGCTATGATTCATGTGCATTGAGCCTTTGTTTTCTCATGCATAAATGATCCTATATAATAAAAAGCTAATATGCAAATTGACCAAACGGCGGAACAACGGTCGCTATGACGCACACTGACCACCAGGGGGGCAGATGCTCAATGCAGGAGCTGCTCCTTGGTGGTCAGTGTGCTCCCACAAGGGGAGGCTCACTTGGCCAGAAAATGGGCTCACGGCTGGCGAGCGCAGTGGTGGTTACGGGAGCCTCTCCCACCTCTGCAGTAGTTCTAAGGATGTCCGACTGATGACTTAGGCCTGCTCCTTGGGAAGCAGGCCTAAGCCATCCATCAGATATCCCCCGAGGGCTCCCTGACTGCAAGAGGGAGCAGGTAGAGCTGAGTGACCCCCCCCTCCCCCAGATTGCATGAATTTCATGCACCGGGCCTCTAGTTTACACATAATTGAGCCACTCAGTTCATTGTACTGTGCCCTTTTGCAAATATTCATAAACCTATGAACTTCAAACAGAAATTGGCTGGTGCTTCTGATTTGGGGTATATGTAGCAGACTATGTCAGATCAATATTTCTACCACAACAATTATAAGAAAGCCAGGTATGTTCCTAGTCAAGGCACATGCCTAGGTTGCGGGATCGATGTAGGGGTCCTGCAGGAGGAAGCCAACTGATGTTTCTTTCTCTCCTCATCAAGAAAGTCTCTCTCTCTCCCTTTCCCTTCCTCTCTAAAATCAATAAAAACATATATATTTTTAAAAATGAATTGTAACAGGTGTCTGGTAGAGGAGAATAATTTAAGAAAAACTGCTTTGCCATCTGTTCACTCTGGCCCAATTTCCCATATGTAAATTACCCTGTAATATGTCCTGTTATAGTCTATGGAGTTGCCTACTTACCTTCAGTCTGTACTTACCTTCTCTTTACAGTGGCCATTACCCCTTTGCCCCACCCTCACACATGTCTGCTTTATGGTTGAACCTTTTCCCTGCTTTGAAAATTCTCATTCAGACTGCTTTCTGGAGGGAGGTTGTGGCTGCAATTCTCTTGGCTGGAGAACACCGAATCCAAAATTAGCTTCAAACCCTGATTAGATTGCCTGAGTCAAGAAGTCAATCCAAAGGTCCAGAAAACCCGAGTGGAGAAAATGCTTTTCAATGACTAAGCTCTTCACTTTTTTACTATTTAATAGTGAGATTCCACCCCAACCCACCCCCGCAACCCACTTTCTTCTTCTTTTTTTTGTAAAGTTAGTGATTTATATTTTGAAACCAGCCCTTTTTTTCTGAGGCACGAGAACATTTACAAATATCAGATTCCCTCTGTATGACACTTCTTTATGATACATTACAGCCAGCCAACCAAGTACAGCTGAAGGTCAATAAAAAAGCATTTGTCCAAGAGTGACCTACACTGACCTGTTGACTCAGGTAATCTAATCAGGATTTAGACTTTTTAAAAAGCAAATTCTGGATTCTTCTTTGCTTCCCATATCACATTCTTGCTATTCTTTTTTAATCCCAGGAAACAATACCAAGTTCTACTTGCCCAAGATAAAATACAAACGGTCCTCGGGTTATGTTGGACTCGACATACATTGTTTTGTGGTTACGTCATCATCTCCCATTTATCCTATCTAATAATAGTCAAACATGGTAATTGACCATACCTCCGCTACGCTTCCCATTGGCTAATCAGCAGGATATGCAAATTAACTGCCAACAAAGATGGCGGCCGGCAGCCACGCAGCTGAAGCAAACATGAGGCTTGCTTGCTCCAGTGATGGAGGAAGCCAAGGTTCCCTGCCAGCTGCGGCCCAGCTCTCAGCTCCGGAAGCAACGTTTCAATTACAGAAGCTAAACAAACCCCAGATACCTGCTTTCAGCCGGCCATGGCCTCAGAGCTGAGAGCGCCAGTGATGGCAGTAGAGTTTCAATTATAGAAGCTAAACAAACCCAGATACCTGCTTTCAGCCAGCCGCAGCCTCAGAGCTGGAGCGAGCAGGACAGCAACAATGTTTCAATTATAGAAGCCAAACAAACCCCAGATACCTGCTTTCAGCCAGCCGGGGCCTCAGAGCTTAGAGCGCCAGTGATGGCAACAGAGTTTCAATTGTAGAAGCTAAACAAACCCAGATACCTGCTTTCAGCCAGCCGCGGCCTCAGAGCTGGAGCGAGCAGGACAGCAACAATGTTTCAATTATAGAAGCCAAACAAACCCCAGATACCTGCTTTCAGCCAGCTGTGGCCTCAGAGCTGGAGCCGGGCCTCAGAGCTGGATCCGGCTCTCAGCTCCAGTGACAGCTATAGAAGGTAAATAAATCCCAGCGGGACCCCCACCCTGATCCGGGACACCCTTCAGGGCAAACCAGCTGG